AGCCAGTAATTACAGAAAAAAAATTATTTTAGAACAATTTTAGAATTTAATTTAACTCAATTAACCGACTGACGGCATAAAAGCCATTGTCGTTGTAACCAATTTTTGTTTGTTTATATGTTTTGATGTAACCTTAAATATGTACAGCCAGCTATAAATAAGCAACAAAGAAAAACAAAACACAAACAATAATCAACCTACTACTACTACTACTACTAGGGGAGAGGTCTGTAGGTTGAGACAGTCTGTAAGTTAAGACACTCAATTTTCTCAAAAATTTTCCACTAAAAAAAAATTTTTTTTTCTAGTCCTTTTTAGTGACAAAACTTTTGGGGAAAACATTATAAGCCAGGCTCTAGCCAGATTTAAGCTGTGAGAGTCGTGTACCATTTTGCACCAAAAAAGTTTTTGTCTACTTTTTTCAAAATTCCATTTAAAATTAATAACGTCCTTAAATTAACTTGGTAAGAGATTTAAAACATTAGTATATTAACTGTTAACTAATTAAAAAAAGAATCAGCTTAATGTGACAGTCAGAACAAAAGTTATTAATTTTTTCCCGAAACATCCCATTTTGTGTAAATTGAGACACCCGTTTTTCATACAAAAAGGCCTGAGGCCAACAGAGGTCGCTTTCTGCCTAGTACATTTCTTTGATATTAGGGGAAAAGTGAATGTTCAAAGAGCCTTTTGATTTTAATTGTTATTTGGTCGAAGTTCTTAAAAAATGGATGGGAAATAATTTAGGACGAACTAAAATTGATTAAATTAACATAAATAAATAGTTCCTTATAGTTTGGAGTACTTTTTGTGTGAGTATTATTGACTTTAAAAAGTGTCTCAACCTACAGACCTCTTTTTCAAATTGTCATTTTTTGGCACTTTTAAAAAAAAATTATTTTTTAGTTTTCCCAAGGGAAAAAACATTTTTTTTTTGCTTTATTTTACAGCTAAAAGACTAAGCTTTCGATCGGTACTTAACACGTGAAGTTTCAAAAGCGAATGTCCAAATGGGAGACTAAAAACAAAAGGTGTCTCAACCTACAGACCTCTCCCCTACTACTTAAAAAAAAACATATTGGAAGGAAAACGATCACGAAAACCGGTTCGATTGGTTAGTTTTTGGATCATCTTCATTAAAAATGGCATATACTTTGAAGGATTACACAGAAAATCCGAGTCCTGGCCCAATTTTCCTTCCAAAATGCTATATCACAAAGCACAATGAATTCTAGCAAGGCCAAAACTTAACTAAAACATGTGCCTAAAATAATAGCGAATATTTTAATAGTTGGATAATGTTTCAATAAACAAATTTATAAAACTTGCATTTAAACAAAAAATCCTATCCTAAATGCAAAACATATTTACAAGGGCATAGGGCTCATAAAAAAAATTAAAAACAAGAAAGAACGCTATAGTCGGGTTGGTGTCCCGACTATCTAATACCTGTCACTCAGCTAAAGGGAATGTGAGCGAGATGGATATATAACATTTTTTGGATTGCGCATAACTTTTTAATGAATGGTCCGATTTGAAAAATGATTTCTATATTTTGATAAGTATAAGTATACACACAAAAATGGCACTTATACTTCTCGGAAATCTTTAAGGGTGTGGCCGCCAGACACATTTTAAAATCGTTAGTGGGCTATTGTGGGCGTTAGAGGGGCTTGGCGCTCGGCTAAAATAAACTTGCGCTGCGTAAGAAGCCCAAGAATATGTGTGGGAAATCTCAACCTTCTAGCTTTTGTTGTTTCCGAGATCTCAGCGTTCATACGGACAGACAGACGGAGAGACGGACATCGCTAGATCAACTCGGCTATACTTTATAGGGTCAGAAACGCTTCCTTCTCCCTGTTACATAATTTTGCACGAATACACCCTTTTACTCGAAGGGTAACGGGTATAAATATTCACAGTCATAACGCAAGCCATTTTATATTTTTGAAGGAATTTTTGAAATTAAATTTGTTTTACAATTTTCTAGCTTTGTATTAAAGCGTAGATTATATACATATAAATTTTAAACCAATGTACCCCACAGTTCAAGAGTTACTTTAATTCATACTCGTTGCAGCTCTCTGATACATATACATCAGCGGTCGGCACACATATACAATAACATTTTGTTTAATATTTGTATGAGTAAATTGCACTGGGCAAATCATCAGAGTGTGTGTGCAGACCGCTCTTCTACAGTATACGTGAGCGAGCAACGGGTGGGCAGAACATAACCCTATGCTCACTTAATAGGCCGCTGCCGACCGCTGATATACAGTGGTTTACAGCTTATTTCAACCAGTCTACACCAAAAACTTTAACAGCCCATAAAAACTAAACAAAACATGTTATCAAAATAATTTAAACGCAGAATACATCTATGATGATACACATTAGTGTATAATAATTTTATGATTTTTTAAATATTTTACAAATTTTTTTTATGAATTAATTGCAAAAAAAGTAAAAAAAAAAAGCCACAGCTTATTTCAACCAGTAAACAAAAAAAATCGAATACATTAACATAGTGGCCAATAACTTTTTTTTTTTTTAATTTGGATTGACTACCTTTTTGTTTACCAACAATTTAAAGTTAACTTTACATGGATACAATGCCTTTTGTTGTTGTTGCCAAGTAAAAACTACTCTCGACCCTTAGGAAGGACTTTTGGCATAGTTTCGTCTAAAAATATTGTGTTTTCTAACATTTTTTCGTTAAGTGGACTTCCAATTTTGTTTTGTGGTAATGTTAAGACAACTTTAATTCATAATCATTAGCTCTCGACAGCTCTGGATGAGCTGAATCTGCGAAAAAATATGCACTTCCCATGGGTCATTTCTTTAGTTAAATCAAAATTTAATTTATATTTCAAAATCCTTTCAGTTTTTAATTCATTTATCCTTTTGAATGTGAGGATGAACTCAAATCTTAATCGCGGAGTAAAAAAAAAATTATGGAAGGACCTGTTTGACACTTATAGGCCCAAAACAATTACCGTTCAGCTCATCCAGAGCTGTCGAGAGCTAATGATTATGAATTAAAGTTGTCTTAACATTACCACAAAACAAAATTGGAAGTTCACTTAACGAAAAAATGTTAGAAAACACAATATTTTTAGACGAAACTATGCCAAAAGTCTTTCCCAAGTGTCGAGAGTAGTTTTTACTTGGCAACAACAACAAAAGGTATTGTATCCATGTAAAGTTAACTTTGAATTGTTGGTAAACAAAAGGGTAGTCAATCCAAATTTAAAAAAAAGTTATTGGCCACTATGTTAATTTATTTGATTTTTTTGTTAAGGAGTTATATACTTTTTTTTTATTTTCTAAAAAACAAAAAATTTTTTTTGCTGAATCCTAAAGTATATCCTCTAGAGAACATTCTCCCAAATTTTCATAAAGATCCGAATAATAGTTAGATAGGAAAACAGCGTTTTATCTGCTCGACTTCAATAGTTGCATATACTCAACGTAAAACTTTGAATGCGATTATCTCAAAGTCGTGTTTTTTCAAAAGTGCCTTCGCTGTGACCACGATTGCACAAGAACTATTTCAATCTTCTTCTTTAATTTTTTTTTATATTATTCGTAATGATTGTGCCGAGTTCGTGAACGATTCAGTTTATGCGCCAATTTTGATTTCGCAGATCAGAATTTTTTAATAAAATTTTTAGAACTCGAAAAATCAACTTTTTTAAAAATTGTTACTGTAAGCAGAAAAAACCAAATATTCTTGAAAATAATCGTTCACGAACTGGAAATAATACTATACTAATACATTTTTTTGGTTTTTTGAATTCAGTTGACCTGCTGGACTTCCATCGTGGTCACCGCAAGCCGCTATAAAAAAAAGGGTTCCGAGAGAATTGCCATAACTTCGTAAATTATTCATATTTTTTGAAGAACAAACGCTTGTTGCTTCGTTAAAAACATGTACTATCAATTAAAAAAAACTTCAGTCTCATAAAATAACACAGGTCAACAAAATGGACTTTATTAAAAGGTGCAGGCCTATTGGCATTAAAATATGTTAATATAGACGTATATAAGCATATCTGCATCCTTAGTTTTGGCGTTTAACGGGTGGTATTTGTGCAATCGCGGTTTGAAAAAAATAGCAACATTTAATGTTTTGATTTAAGATACCTTCGAGGGTCTGTGCTCAATTGTGTTAAAACCTATGCCAAAAAATTGCTCAGATGCCCTTCTATATAATTGCATTTAAGGTTCCATCATAATTTAAGTCAATCAAAGCCTATAAGGCATTGAATTAATTTGTTCACCTCTATTCCCAACCAACTTGATGCGGTGAACAGGCATAAAAAAATACAAGGAAAAATATGTGCCCTAAAATATTTTACATGCATCTAGAGGCGTCTTTCACCGAATTTTTAAGACAAATACGACCATTGGACTTTTTTTTGTAATTAATTCATAAAAAATATTTGTAAAATATTTAAAAAATCATAACATTATTATACACTAATGTGTATCATCATAGATGTATTCTGCGTTTAATTATTTTGATAACATGTTTTGATTAGTTTTTATGGGCTGTTAAAGTTTTTGGTGTAGACTGGTTGAAATAAGCTGTGAACCACTGTACATACATATGCGGCCAGCAGTGTGCGGATGATCACTGTAAAGCTGGCCGAGCTACCCCATCGGGAACAATTCTCTGGAAAATATGATATTTTCATGAGGTTTCTCCATACAAGCGGAAGGGACAAAACCTCATTTACCCCTTACATTTCTTCCGTCTCTGGTTTCAAAATACACGGGTGACACAAAAAGTATGGATTTTCAGCACACAAAGAACCACCTTCTCACTTTCCCGGTGGGACGGAGCTTCACTCAATAGTAAGGCCATTAAACCCCCGACATGCAAGCAGTGACTTTTTTTTCTAAAAACGCGCATTCATACATATGTATGTATGTATCTTTAAGTTCGATCAATCAAGGTCAAGTTAAACAGTCTCATTCCTACATGTACTTACTCTCGTACAGCTTCTTCTCCTTGTCAGCGTCAATTTTGCCGAGTGCGGAGCGTAGGTTGCTGCGCTCCTCATCATCCAGGTTGCATAGCAGATCCATTGCACGTTCTGTGGACAGGTGGGTGCTAAACTTTGAGTAGTTCCTGCGGCTATTAGAAATGGTGCAAATGAAGGACGGCAGGATCTGAAGTTGCGTCCTTAAAAGCTCAGCGCCACATGGTATTGGCGGTTTTATGTTGTTGCACCGGCGAATTAGGTTTCTGAACGCCGCTTGGCATTGATATCGCATTGTAGGTGCGTTCGTGTTTATTTTTTATAAATTAGACAATCGCACTCCTGACGTCCTGAGCTAACTCTGCCACACACTCAGAAGCACACCGACAACTCGCTGGCCACCGACTAAAAGTTTTAGTGCCCCGTGCTTCCCAATAGATCACCAAGGCATTCTGCCCATTAGAATACGTATTGGAATTGGAATGCAAGTGTTTATCTATTTTTAAGAGATTAAAAACAATACCGATAAAATACTAACTGATGTATGGTAACACCGTGCGTCAAAATAGCGTCGCTGACTTAGCGTCGATTGTGGAACGGTAGAATTTGGAACATGGGGCTAATTTTTTATACCCGTTACTCGTAGAGTAAAAGGGTATTTTGTATTCGTGCAAAATTATGTAACAGGGAGAAGGAAGCGTTTCCGACCCTATAAAGTATATATATTCTTGATCAGGGTCACTAGCCGAGTCGATCTAGCCATGTCCGTCTGTCTGTCTGTCTGTCCGTATGAACGCTGAGATCTCGGAAACTACAAAAGCTAGAAGGTTGAGATTTTCCACCATATTCTTGGGCTTCCTACGCAGCGCAAGTTTATTTCAGCCGAGCGCCACGCCCCCTCTAACGCCCACAATCGCCCACTAACAATTTTAGATGTGTCTGGCGCCCACACCTTTTAATATTTCCGAGAAGTATAAATGCAATTCTGTTGTGTACACTTATACTTATACCTATTGAAATGTAGAAGACAGTTTTCAAATCGGACCATTCATTAAAAAGTTATACGCAATCAAAATATCTATATATATCTATCTCCCTCGCACTCCCTTTAGCTGAGTTACGATTATAGTCGGGACACCAACCCGAGTACAGCGTTCGCACTCCCTTTAGCTGAGTGGCGGGTATTAAATAGTCGGGACACCAACCCGACTATAGAGTTCTCTCTTGTTTTCGAAAGAAATCGCCATCATTGTGCTGTACCCTTTACAGAACACCTCTCCGGATTAGGGGTTGTCTTTATCCATATAGGCCTGAAGATTTCGCGGTGTTATTTCTATCATTTTTTTGCATTAGTTACAAGTTCTTACTTAGCATACAAAACTTCTTGGTGGTAGTGATGAAGAATTCGCGGTCCATGGAGGAAAAACAGTTTTCAACGTTTTTTGGGGGTATTGACAGCTGGACGATTGAGATTGTCTTGATTCAACTGTGACCTGAAGATTTCGTGGATTGATTTCGATCATTACATTTGGCGATAGTAACGAGTTCATGCTTAACATACAACACTTCTTGTTAAAAGTGCTGAAGAAGTCGCGGTCCATGGAGGAAAAAGCATAGCACTAATGCACTGGCTCTTGCCAATGCAAACAGCAACCGATCCAAAAAAATCAAAATCAATCCGCGAAATCGTTGGGCCACATTGGTTCAAGACAAGCCCAATGATACAGGGGTCCATAACTCAAAAAGGTTAACAACTAATTTTCTCAATGGACCATTCCTCCTTGGTCCGCGAATCCTTAGGATTTAAATATGAAAATGGCATGGTTGGTTTCTGTGGCGAGCTAAAGCTAAAGGTAGCTTTATAATTAAAAAAAAAGACAAATATATATGTATTTCAAAACAAATTTCATTTTCCATTTGCCCTTATGACGTCATGTAAGAATTCGAATGGATTCGAATAAATTCGTTTGAGTTGTTCGTGTTCTCATTTCTCGATTCGTTTTCCATCACCTTTTCTGATTCGACTGAGTTTTACGTCAGCAAAGTTATTTATTCAAGCCAGTTTCCCTACACATTCCAACTCATTCAACTCATTTTGAACATTGTCAATTCGAATATGTATTTTTATACCCTTGCAGAGGATATTATCATTTCAGTCAGAAGTTTGCAACGCAGTGAAGGAGACGTTTCCGACCCCATAAAGTATGTATATTCTTGATCAGCATCACAAGACGAGTCGATCTAGCCATGTCCGTCTGTCCGTCCGTCTGTCTGTTTCTACGCAAACTAGTCTCTCAGTTTTTAAGCTATCGGGACGAAACTTTCGCAAAAGTCTTCTTTCTATTGCAAGTAGTATATATGTCGGAGCCGACCGGATCGGACAACTATATCTTATAGCTCCCATAGGAAGGATCGGAAAAAAAAACTTAAAAAAATTCTAGCTTCAGTGTTTTTTTAAGTATTACCTTCTACTCTTGGGAATATTATTTTTTATCTATTTCTTAATTTCGAATTAAATATCAAAATATCGGATCACTATATCTTATAGCTGCCATAGGAAAGGTCGAAATAGTAAATGTAAATTAATAAGAAAAAAATTATATCTTTGTTGATTTTTATTACATTCTCTTCTACTCTGGGATATGACTATTTTTAAATATTTCCGAAATTCTATTTTAATTTTAAAAAGATCGAACTACTATATCATATAGCTGCAATAGAAACGATCGAAAAATTAATGTGAAATAATAGGAATTTAACATTTTTGGATTAATAAATTAATTGAATGATCTGCAAGGGTATATAAGATTCGTCTTTCCGAAGCTAGCTTCCTTTCTTGTTTGTAATTGATGCAGATGTCTTTTGCATACCAAGAATTTTAGAAAATCGATTGGCTTGGGAGAGAGAGCGGAGAAAGTAAAAAAGTGAAAATTTCGAATTAGGGGTCATATGATAAAATCCGACGCTCCGTTTAAAAGTTATAGCCAAAAGAAGATTTTCTTCTTCTTCCCAAAATGAAAATTTAATTCTGTTTGTCAGTTTGTGAGTTTGTCAGTCCCTGGAAATTTTATATGGTGTTAAACAGTTCGTTATAAGAAACATTAGTTCTACCACTTTGGGAATAACTAGCTAGTTTTGCGGGAAAACAGATATAAATAGCGAAATTTTGAAAGTCAACTTTCAGAAATTTCAGCAATTCAACAGCCTTGGGGCTGTTGAACATTTTGTTGAATTGCTGAAAAGCCACAGTTGTCACCTTTTTTTAAAAGTCGTGGCAACTCTGTAACATTTTAGTATCGCCAGTACGCATTATTTATTTTAAAATCAACTTAAAAAGCATATTTGTGGTTCTTTTTACCTTGGTAACACTTTTAGACAGTAACTAGCAATAATAAATCAAATTTTACCTGCTTTAAGTTCCGTAAAACTTTTCAACAAATAACAGCTGTTTGAAAATTCAACAGGAACCATTTTGGGTCATTCCCTTAATTGCTAAAATTTTTTGTTGAATTTTCAACAATTCAGCAATTTAACAGTTTAGGGAATCCCCCTAAAGTCCTCCAATTTATTTTAAAACAAGGGGGAACGCTATAGTCGGGTTGGTGTCCCGACTTTCTTTAAAAATAACAGTGACGCAGTATACATTTTTACTTTTTATATTTTTGTTCGATAGTTTAGACGCTCTTGTATTTATGGTGAAAAAATGAAGATTTGAAGATTTTTTCCAGAATACCTGCTGAGTAGCAGAACACATCAAAGCAAGTTCGCAAGAATAAAAGCAAGAATACGGACGCGACATGTTGCTACTTAACAAAAAATTGCCACTTTTTATTTGTTAAAATGTTGCAGAGCTATTATACGTGTTACTAAAGTTCGTACTGTAAGGTTTGGTTAAATTATTTAAGCCTTATTCACCTCTTTTTAATAGAAACATAGTTTTTATATAGCTTGTTCTATGAAAATTATATGACAATGTGGTTAGTGTTTAATTAAATTCTGCTAGTAAGTGCACAAAATTTAGCCAAATTACAACTGGTTAAAAATGTATACCTTTTTAAAAAAAGTTAATCCTAGAAATATGTTGCACATATAGAGTATTTTATTAAATTATGTTTTCAAGGCTGTACGGCCCATAAAAATTTCGAATTCTCTGGTAATGTAGTGGTAATGAAGTGGTAACGAAAATTCCTCCACTTCTTTGGCACGGAGTGTAAAGAAGCTTTATTCTCGAGCATATTGAAACAATTCTAAAGGACTGGATAAGTGCTTTCTCTTTGATAGCAAAATTTTTTGTAAATAATATAAATATTATTAAATAAAGTTAATGAAAAGCAAGGCCTTCGACGTTTTTTGTAGCTTCAGATAAAACAATAAGCTTCACAAACAAATTATGAACAATTGTTTTCTAGTAATAAAAATTGAAATTACGGACCCCACAGACTTTAAAATTTCTTTAAAAATATTAATGCGCTAATTTTTTTTGACTAAAAATGTTAATTAATTTGTTCCAAATATCCTTGCTTTAGGCATAAAAGCTGGTTTATATGTGTCGCAAATTGGACGAGTGAAAAGAAAAAATTAAGTTTTTTGATTACGGACGCGACATTAAAAATGTTTAAAAACAAACCTCAATAAAAACACCCAATCCATTAATATTAAAAAAGTCTTAATTTTTCCAGATGGCACTTACCTTAAACTAATTTGTAGGATTGGTTGCTTGATCCTGAGACTTCCACAGAAGGCATAGCAATATTACGAAAACACATCAATATGTGTTGCTCGTGCTTGAAAGCTGCATATCTTTGTGTATAAAATTTATTTGAAAGGAAATGTAATTGATTCACAAATTATAGATCCCAATGCTATTATTAAACCAAAATTTTCCGCCAGCTTTTAGCTTTTGGGGTTTGGTCCGACTTGAAAAATGTCCTTTGCATTTTGATTGGTATAAATATGCACAACAAAATTGCATTTATACCTCTCGGAAATCTTTAAAAGTGTGGGCGCCAGACAAATTTTAAAATCGTTAACAGACAGACAGACAGACAGACAGACACACAGACAGACAGACAGACAGGCAGACAGACAGACAGACAGACAGACAGGCAGACAGACAGACAGACAGACAGACAGACAGACAGACAGACAGACAGACAGACAGACAGACAGACAGACAGACAGACAGACAGACAGACAGACAGACAGACAGACAGACAGACAGACAGACAGACAGACAGACAGACAGACAGACAGACAGACAGACAGACAGACAGACAGACAGACAGACAGACAGACAGACAGACAGACAGACAGACAGACAGACAGACAGACAGACAGACAGACAGACAGACAGACAGACAGACAGACAGACAGACAGACAGACAGACAGACAGACAGACAGACAGACAGACAGACAGACAGACAGACAGACAGACAGACAGACAGACAGACAGACAGACAGACAGACAGACAGACAGACAGACAGACAGACAGACAGACAGACAGACAGACAGACAGACAGACAGACAGACAGACAG